TCAGCCATTAAGATAGATATCATGCACCCATTTGACCCATAAAGTATCCTTTTTAGTATGAATATCCCAAAAGGTTTTTGCAAGAAGAGCGGAATTCCAAACCCTAGTATCATGAATGCCAACTCCACCCTCTTCTTTGGGGAGGCAAATATCAGCTAAACAACCCTAGAGAATTTGCATCCCCAAAGAAAGATGCAACATATAGTTGTTATTCTATCAAGTATAGTTTTGGGTATAGGAAATACCTAACCAAGCATTCCAGCCAGCTGTTTGTGAGGTTACCGTGCCTAGTGAAGGTCTCGAGTTCGAAACCCGCTAGGCATATAAGGGTTTGAAACTCAATGAAGTGAATTTCAACCCTGATTACTCCAGGTCCCCCCAGACCCCCTGGAGTAAAAAAAAGGGTATAGGAAATACCTGAAGCCAAAATGAGTGCACACCTTGAATGACAACTTTAATAAGTTCAATTCTCCCGGTATGTGAAAGTGTCTTGAGATTCCAAGCTGTAATGAAAGCAGTAATAAAGTCCAAGAGGGGGGCATATTGGGCCACATATATCTTAAGAGGAGCCAGAGGCACTCCAAGATATTTGACCAGGAATGTCCCTTCTTGAAAGTCAACTAGATCAAATATGTTAGATAGGTCATTATCAACCAGTTCACCAATGAAGACATTGGATTTATCATAGTTTACATGTAAACCAGATAAGTTACCAAACTCCTCAAGGGTATCAGTAAGTATCTTAATAGAAAGGGCATCCCCTCTAGAAAAGAGCTAAAAGTCGTCAACATAAGCAACACATGAGACTTTCAATTTCCCACACTTTGGGTGGAAATTGAATTGGGGATCATTAGTTCTCACATTCATTAGTCTAGAGAGGTATTCTAAGCATAGAACAAAGAGAGGGGAGACATAGGGTCACCCTACCTTAGGCCTCTTTTCCCATCAAAATGTCCATGAAGAACACCATTAATGGAAATAGAGTAAGATGGTGTAGAGACACTCCATAATCCAATGAATGAATTTGTCAGGGAAACCCATATGTACTAAGACCTTAGACAGAAAATCCTAAGGTATAGTATCATATTCCTTCCTAAGGTCAACCTTAATCATACATCTATGAGAGGTATGTTTTCGGCCATAACCTTTGACCAATTCTTGAGAAACAAAGATGTTATCAATCATGAATCTACCATCCACAAAAGCCCCTTGGGTCGGGTCAATGAGATTAGGCAAACAAGGAATCAATCTATTAGAGATGATCTTTGTGATAGTCTTATAGATGACATTGGTACAAGCTATAGGCCTATAGTCAGCAGGTGTTGATGAATGAGTGGTTTTAGGAATTAGAGTAATAACTGTGTGGTTAAGTTGCTTTTCCAATTGATCTTTTCCAATGTTTAACTTCTCCTTCTTGGCCTCATCTTTTTTCTTTCTTTCCTCGATCTCTTTTCTTTCAATGTTGGCAATGACATTGCATGTAAATGCATGATGGCCGAAGCATTTGCAAGGGAAGCAATAGTTAGGAAAGGTTTCATACCTCACCCTTTGATTGTGTAGTTTCCCATTTGGTAGCCTTATTTGGAATTGGAGTGGAGGAGGCTTGGAAGCATCCACCTCAATCAATACTCTAGCAAATGTAGACCTAGCTTTCTCAAGAGTAACCCTATCCGTAGTCAAGGGTACCCCAACTTTAGAAGCAATCTCACTTATGATTTCCTCCTCCCATATCCTCATAGGCAAATGTGGAAAATGTACACAAATTTGAACCTTGAGGAACTCATCATCATCCATAGAAAAGTCCTCATAAACAGTCTTTAGATGAAAGATCTTTCCAAATAGTGAGTAAGGTCCTTCCATTAGAACTTTGGCCCTATCCTTCTTATTTTGAAATTTGAAGATGACCCATCCCCTATCATGAGATCGTACATGACAAGGCACCCCCCACTTTTGCACCATGTCATGTATATTTTTCAAGCCGGGGAAACGTCCATCAAAGTATGCAACAAGACAATGTCCCCATATGTAAACCATGGATGATAGCTTTCGGTTAGTGAGGTCAATGATGCCCCCCTTTGGTTCAATGCATCTTAGTTTCAGAAATTGCCCTAAATTGGAGTAAAAACCTTTTGAAATTCCAAAATAGGAGTATCATGTTTTTTATTCCCTGAATAGGAGTAATCTGCCAAGTTTGGAAAAAAATGTCATGTTAAAAGCCTTGTAATTCCAAACTTGGCAGAAATTTACTCCTATTCAGGGAATAAAAAACATGATACTCCTATTTTGGAATTTCAAAACGTTTTTACTCTTATTTAGGGAATTCTCTCTCTTAGTTTCATGCCCTTGTTCGGCTCTCTATTGTTCTTAAAGAGGGAAACAAAGTTAGGTTTGGTTCTGAGTTGAACCCATCTTGAGTGTGTTTTGGTCATTGGATGCTCTAATGCCGCAACATTAGCCTTGTCAAAGGGGACAAGTAAACCATGGGCTTCATCTACAAGATTACAACAACCTCAACAATTGGTTCAACATATGGCTCAATAGTTGGTTCCTTACTAGCCTCGATTGCTTCCTTATCCATGATGTGCTTAACAATGGGATCAATGACATATTCAGATTCCTCCTCAACCACCAAATTATCAAGAGTAAGAAAGGTTATCTCCAACGTAGGTTCAATATGAGTACATTCATGGACTTCAATGTTCTCGGCTATAGCATCACCAAGAGGTGTGGAAGTAATCTTCACATTTGCCATTTTGTTAGAATATCATGAGGAAAGGAATGACTTTTTCAGCGCGGTCAAAATTTTCATTGAAAACAATACCATATCTTCAACTTTTATAGTGCTAAGTCAAGAAAACTTTTGATAATCAAGAATATAAAATTTACATAATTGAAAGTTGCATGAAATTTGTTCTATTAAAACACAAATTAAAGTCCAACCAACAAAAATTTGATATGTAAAATTAGATTAGATTTCAGCTTAAGATATGAATAGTACTTGTACAAATTAAACCAAGGAGAGAGGGAATAATTGGGATGTCTGCACCAATTGAACAATCTACTATGCCAATATTTGTTAGTTAAGAGCCACCATTTCAATAAAAAAAAACTAGTAGTGCCTTTGGTAATGGTGGACCCAAAACTTTTATGGAGGGGGTCACAAATGAACAATGGTTGGGTCAGACCACTGGATTGGATCCATTCCGAATTTGATTAGTTCAAGGACATAGTTAGAGAACCATGTGTTAGAATCCAATTAACTTCAAATTTGATCAATGCTATGTCATATTGTGCCAAAAGTTTACCGGCTTATCCTAATTAAATTATCCTTGTTGTTACATCATTGAGGTTCATTCGAAAATTTAATTAGTGTCTAGTCGGAGTATTACATTTTTTGGGTTATGTCAGCTGTGGATCCGGGCCCATGCACTCCATCGTGGTTTAAGTTGTGCTTGAGCCACCGGGGTAGCATATTGAAGATCACTAATGACTTGAGTGAATGGACGAGGTAGAGATGGAGATGAGGTGAAGAGTGAAAAAAAGAAAAGTTGGGTGAGGGAGAACAACAAAAATATGGGTGAGAATAACTAACATGGTGGTGGGAGGGAGTATTAAATGAGAGGTGGATGATCAAGCTAAATGAAATGTATGAATATAAGGTTTTATCGAAGATCATGATTTAGAGATGGACATGATAGAAATCGACATACGCTAGTTTTTAGAAAACGATGATGCAAATTAAAAAAAAAGTGAATGCATGAGGGTAGAAACAGAGATAAGGTGAACAGTGAATAGCGAAGAGGTGCGTGAAGTGTGGATAATGAAGAGAGGTGGGTGGAGTGTGAATAATGAAGAGGTGAGTGAAGGAGAATATAAATAACAAAGAGGCTAGTGACAATAAGTAAGTGGTAAGTGCATAATGGGAAGTACTTAATGGATATGACAGGGTGCGAGTAGTAAATGAGAATGTAATTACTTTTTTTGTAGATTTTGGTAAATAAGGAGAATATTAGAGTATAAACAATCAAAATAAATCAATATGCTTCGTTTGCCAATTAATGGGTGATGGATAGTCTACCCGGGGGGTATCTTATCCGAGGGGTTATTGCGGGAATAACTAGAGAGAGAAGTCAGAGCAAAATAGGAGGAGAGAGAGTCGATTTTATTAAATGAACTCAGCGTGTAAGAGACAGATGTGGATCCTGGATCGTTTACAAGGAGAAATGGGCTGCTATTTATAGCAGCAATAAATGCGATGAGAGTACACGTGTCAGTAATCCAACGGCCGAGGGGTCACATCAGCCGGGTGGCACCGGCAGTGGTACGTTCACCACATTGAATGCGGTTGGCGGATGTGACGTGGTATTAAATACGGTGGTTGGCTGTCTCCAAAAGGAATCTTCGATGATCGAACATGTTTGGCCGAAGGCTCCTTGTGTAGCCGAGGGCTCCATGTGACCAAGGACCCCTGTGTAGCCGAAGGCCTTGTGTGACCGAAGGCTTGGTTCAGCCGAAGGCTTCTCTGATGCCGAGGGCTTGATAATGCCGAAGGCTCATGTTTTTTGCCGTTTCCTCCCAGTAGCTTCTTATTCCAGAGAAGGCTATCCTGTGAGTTTTGGAGCCTTCGGCCAAGGAGGCCGAAGGCACCCCAGTGTGTATTCTGGGCTACTTTGAGGCTTGGGCTGTTGCATCTGGGCCTGAGTTGTTCTCTGGGCTCAATGGACTTGTGTAGGAGAAGTAGGAGTCTATGGGCCGGGGGTTCCTGGGCCATATACTCCATCAATGGGGTTTTGTTCTATTCGAGATTATTATTTCACATTGTATTTTGACTTACTTTATGATTTTGGTCATGTTTGGCATAAGCTTTAAGCTCATAATGGGTTGAAATTTTTAAAACAAAATCAAGAAATGTAAAAGTACTTATGTTTGAGTGAGCGGCTACACAAAGTTGAAGTTGAAAAAAATTGAAACTCTGATATTCAAGTTAATTTGATTATAATATTGGTGGCAATATTCCAAACTATTTCGAAAATAAAATAAAATTTGGATTATAAAGCATCATATTTACATGTTTTGAGCTACATAACACAGTAACTTTACAATCACATGATTCACACCAGATCTCTGAGGCAACCAACCATAACTATTAATTAATCTTAATAACATAAAAATAGAAATACAAAATAGTCATATATTTATTGAATTATTATTACAATCATCAATCACACCTAGTTCTCATAAATATTTATATATATTTATAGTAACTAAAAAATAAGATGAACAAAAGACATGATATGACGAAACAACAATACAAAAAATGATGGAGCTTGATCAGCCATAAATGATTTCTAAGTCCTAGAGTCCAAGGCCATGATGGTGGTGAGGTTCATTGGATGCATGTACTCATTTGTACCAGTCAGGATTTGGTCCACAATGATCCTGCTAGCCTTTTCTGTTGGATGGAATCCATCCCAAAATGCAAACAAGCTCCTATCTGGACACAAGTTGGAGAGTGGTGTGCATAGGCCAATTCCATTGTACAGACCTTGTCCACAACATGCTATTTTTGATGTCACAAATCCTGCTCAAACATTAAGTTTATGAGCCAATGTGTACAGAAAAAATAATACAAAGGGGGCTATATATACTGAGCAAACAATACTACTAACCGTAAGCAGCGGGGTTCGAGACGAAGTCCATGTTCATTTGGTGAGTGTTAGCCGCTATAAAGACGTTGCCCCCGACCTCGTTGTTGAGTTGAGCAATGAGCTCACGCAGTTGGGGGTTGAAAAGGCCAGCTGCTCGAACCAATTCCACGGCACATACCCCGGTTGGGCTCCTCTGTGCTAGCTCTGATGGCACACACCCTATTGGTCCTGTTCCTGTCACCAGCACCCTCCTTGCTCCCAAATCATGTAGTTTCTGCATCATTATTATTCATTGAATATATGTCACACTAATTAAATGTGTATTTCATAACCACCAATATCTACTGTCATTAAACTTCCCAAGTCACACTATAACTATCTTAGTTGAAAAATGATATTTATACCACCAATCTGTACATAGACAAGCTCAACTATGTGCAACTTTTCAACTATTGCACATAGTTGAAAAACAGCACTAACAAACAACAACAACCAAGCCTTAATGCTCAATCCTAAAATAACATCTCATTTGTAATTTTTTTCCCAATGTCCCTAATAGACTGATACCTCATCTTGAACGATGCAATTCTGTTTTTTTTATAACGCCATCGTCTAGACCGTGAAGTACTGATGTAAGGACTAGTAATCTAGTTTAGAAGAATGATGAGTTACCAGTAGAACTTTGCGGTACTCCGAAATGAGGTAATGCACGTAGTCGGGAAGAGAGTATTGGCGAGATCTTGCAGAGAAGGGAACCAAGTAGTAGTTGTTCACGAAATCGTTGCCACCGAGGGTAATGAGGACTAGAGCATCATTGACCAGCTGATTTGTCCCTTCTTCTCCGATGAGTTGACTCACTCGCTTCTGGTACTGCTGAAAGTACTCCAATTGTTTCCCAATTCTGATTATGTTCAACTGCAAATTGGCAACCCCATATTACAATCAGGATTATGATTTGCTATATTTCACTTTGCAAACTAGTGGAAACATATTTAATATGAGCTTTAGTATCCATAATCTTGTACATCCTCGATTCTAAATTAAGTTTCCACGTTTGACTTTGATGCCTATAGTAAATTTGTCTCATTCAGATTTGTATAGATCTCAAAGAAATAAAAAACATACAATTTCCTTCTCAAATGAAACATAAATGTTATTTTGATCCTTTACTTTGGAATGACAAAAATGAAAACGCACCATCTTACTTTTTGTAGTGAAGTTACAGAATAAGTAGGTTGAAGTGTATATTTGATCTCACAAATAAAGTTCACTTCGAGGTGCATTTGTTACTTCTCACTTAAAAGTTAGAACCGCGTGAAACTAATTATATGTTCACGTCTTTAAAAGTCTCAATGAACGTGTAAAAAGTAAAATTAAATACTTTTTAAATGATACGACAAAGAATGATAAAGAGTATTAGATCGATCCATTTGAGTTTTTTCGTTATTTTTTGGATCGATAAAAAGAACATAAAATACAGGAATAAAATAAAAATGATATTTTACAAGGTCTTTACAACAAGAGACACTATATTTATTATGTATACGGACTAAAACATATTTAACTATTTAAGTCATTATTATCAAAATATTAATTAACTTGGTTAGATACGTACAAACTGAAAGCCAGTGTCATTAAGGATCCCAACTCCAGCAGAAGCAAAATTGGCTCCGTCCAGAAGCTTATCTCCGGTGAGCAATGGACTCAGATATGGCTCGGCTACCGGAATCCCCAGCTTCTCACCTTAAAAACACAAAAAAAAACATCTTTAAATCATCAATATAAAAAACAGAGCTGAAAATTAACTTCCCCTTTAGTTAATTAACATACTAATGATATCTGGAATGCTGAGGCCGTTGGAGAAGCGGCCGGTGGGTCGACGGGTGGGGTAGTCGATCCCATATGGCGGCGCGTCGGCTCGGGCAGTGGTGGCCAGGTAGTTATTGTTCCCATTGTCTACAAGCGAATCCCCGAAAACGAAGAAAGCCCGAGCGTCGGCCGTCCTCCCGGAAAATGCAAGGAGGAGGAGGAGGAGAAGGTGGCAGAGGATAGAAGAATTTGAGGCTGCCATTTATATATATGTAATGATCGGATTCTGGGTTTTTCCCCAGTGAATGATCAATGATGAATGGTTTGGAACTTGTGTAACAATAATGGGGCAGAGCAGCTGCTTTTATACTAGAAGCAGGGGGGTTTGATGGAGGTGAATATTGTGTGATACTCTGTATTATTTAGATCACAGCCACTTAATTCACTACAGTGTGTTTTAAAACAGTTGAATTAGTTGTATCTCTTTAAACATTATGGCCCCATCTGGCCAATATCTTTCGGTGATCTATATGCTAGTACGGGTATATATACTACAAGAGATAGAATTATATATCACCATGCTTGAATACACATTTTATATATATGCACAATGAATCCCTTAAGAGCAATTTCTTGTACTCAGAGACTAATAGATGATGATACCTAACATATTGTTCGAATGATTCAAATTTACATCTCTCAAAGGTTTAATGTGCATGCATTTTTAAGAGCCCGGTATAAGTCGGGCCAGTTCGGGATCACCTGATGCTACTAACTAGCTTAACTAACTACTATCTTCGTCCCATTAACGTTAGGATATGATGAGGTGGTGCAGTTATTAAGAAAATAATTTTATGTGTTTGATATCGAATTGATAAAGTAACAATGACTTAGAACCATACAAATTTAACTTTATCAAATTTGGTATGTAATAATCTTAGTGGGACGGGCAAAAAAGGAGGCGAGCGCCCGAATTCCCGTAATCATCGTCATTCGTCAACCAATGTTTAAATGTTAGAAAAGTTGTGTCGAACCAGCCTTGCCAACTACAATAAAGGAACTCCATCACCATATCAACTCTGTCGATCGGGAGATGATGAATACACCAATTCTAAATAGTGCTAGGAAGAAAATATACCATATTAAATGGAATTGTAGCTGGGAAAAATCTCCTGTCTTGATGAAAGTGTTTTGAATTTCGGAACATGGTTACTATAGATTTATGAATTTATCGCTAAATAGACTTAAATACTGTCATGTTTTGACATTTTCAGACTTTAAATATAACAATATTTTTCAAAACTGACCATAAATATTCTTATTTAAGAAATAAAAATAGAATACTCATACTTTGAAACTTCTAAATGTTTTACGGAAAACGTTAAAATCGTCCTATTCATCCGTTTTACTTATTTGAGTGCGAAATACTTCAACTTTACTTATTTGTTTTACGGCTTTTCATTAATATAGAGCAAACACGCAAGACAAAATCCAGACAGTTATTATAGATCTGATCGTAAGTCATATGAATAGACTTAGACTTAGCCACCCATACAAAGCAACCTGACTCGCTAGACACAAAACGGGCAAGAAGAAGCCTAAAACGGTCGAAAATGAAATACTGCCTATCAAAAGTTCTTCAAAAATCAAAACTGCAACCACACCTGCTCGAACTGGAAAAAAATAAGTACTACAAAAAGAAAAATAATACGAAAATAAAAACTTTCCCCAAATTGCTTCCTCACACGGAGGTGGTTCCGTAGGAGGGCGAGCTGCTGTAATATGGTAAAAGATAATTTCACCCCCCGAAAAAATCATTTGAAACTCTATTCTTTTTGCGCTCGCCAATTTGTGCTCGTCAATTTACTCCTTGAGATTTGCCATTGACATCCATGTACGAGATGGTGAATAAAATTCTATCATGTTGCTTTGTGATTCTTCACCCACAAAAATCCAAGCCGCACCCCACCGCCCTTTTGTTCCACACACGTTCCGAAACTCCAAAGAGGAAAGCTGCACGAAATTCTCGTTCTACTGAAAACCCAGCCGCACGGACGAAGTTCGATCGGCAAAAAAAAAACCTAATAAGTGTAGGGAAAACGGCCGCTCCTCGAAAGAATAGATAGCGGACAAAAAAACTCTAGCGATGGAAATCCACTCTAGAGAGATGAGGTCTGGCTACGCCGTGCCAATTAAACCAGAATCTTCTAACAGATCGAGAAGAAACAGATCATTGGCAGCCGGCCACAGGTGAATCGAGCCTTTAAACCGCACAAATATGTTGTTCAACTTTATTTGTTTAATTAACTAACAAAGCATACATAATAAAAAATTAATATATTTGGTAAAATAAAATTGGTAAGAATCATAAATAAAAAAGAATATGGTTAGCAAATGACCAAGCAATTACACCGATAGAGTTTGGTGGAACATAATTAATATTATAGGGTGTGCATATAGAAGCAGTTAGCTATTTAATTTTGGTTGATTCTTGTGCTTGCAAGCTGGGCCAGTTTGGTGTGGATCCTAGCTACAAGAACTGTTATTTTAAGATATCTTGTGAAACTTAACATGTTTTTTTTATCTGCTCCATTTAAGGGAAGTAATTGATTAATTGGCAACTACCTGAATTCAAAACTACTATCAATCAGTAACAATATGGTGGGGGATAGTAATATTCACTTTGTCTTTTCTACCATTTCTCATATGTTCAGACAAAATCTTTTTATTTATTACTAATACGGTGCGGAGTAATTATTATCCAGATTTTATAGGACTTTTCGTACTGTATGCAGGGATATGATATTGTCTCAACCAAATACCATGCATTATTTATTCAAAAAAAAAAATACCATGCATTATCCACCGCAGTAGTCAGTACTATCATGCTATCGGACGGTCCATGTTGTACTAAATAAGTAATGCTGTTTAACCTCATTCTAAGGGAATGTAATAAAGAAAAAGCATGAGAAAATGTAGAAATGTACGTAATATATAAAAGAGAAGATAAAAAGTAAATGTAATTATGTATTTTTACAAGAAAAAATTACCACAAATGGAAAGTATATACCAAACTTTTAAATATATCCCAAAAATGAAAGCATAACAAATTTTAAAATACCTACCGATGAGTATGTACTTCTTTCCTATGACTAATATACCAGGAATCGGGGAGCTATTGATCGAGTTGGAAAGAAATTTTATGACGTAATCTAAAATGATCTAATTGATTGTTGATATTTGATCAAATCAAATGTTGTATGATCTAGCATCACTTACATTTTACTAATATATTCTTTCGTCCCACTAAGGTTGTTTTATCTTTCCTTTTCAATACGCCTCAATAAGTGTTTTCATACCAAATTTGGTAAAGTATGTGCGGTTCTAATTTTATTTTATTTTATTCATATTTTATCAATTCAGTATCAACAAACTCATTTTTGTTTATAACCGTATCTCCGAAATCAATGCGACTAAAGTAGTACGATAGTATATGTTTGGTTTGTCTAGTTTGGTTGTTTGATTTGAATTGCCCAAATCTGTATAAATATGATATGCTATCAGGGGCGGACCGTAGTACAGACCCAGGGGGGCAACCGCCCCCCAACAAAAAAAATTCTAGGGTATATATACATGAAACATAATTTTCGCCCCTCAAAAAAATATTTTGAACCCCCAAGACGGATTTCCTGGGTCCGCCACAATGAAAGTTGGTCGGCATCCAAGTTTCCTACAATCCCTACATCGCCCATGCATAATTGATTATTCTATATATGCCCATGCATGCAAACGGCACAAAACTAAAAGTTTCAATATATACTGGAAATTGGATCACCTACCTGACTTCATGCGAGACGGATTAGTCAACGCCATGATGCCTACGCTTCTCCAAGTGACTAAAAATATTAGTATGAAAAGTGCACAAATCCACAAATCATTATCATCTTATCAAAAGTGTGTGTCTAATATGATTTATATACACATCATTCATGAACTATATATATCTTGGTGAATTGTGATGTTGATCCGCGGCAATATTCATCACACATGCACAAAAGTTGCAATTGCGCAAAAGTCTAATAATACGAGGCCACTATCATGTTACGTTAATTGCTGCTAAACATATCCGATCCTTTCCTCAATTCAATATCATTTTCTTGTCGCACTCATATGGATTCCTTGATTACGATATTGAGTATACTGTATGAGCACTCGTGCTTTTATCAACAAATTAAATAGGATTATATTGTAATTGTGTTAGAGAAAACGATGTATATCAGGCATGTAGGGGTCAGGTGGACGTGCTAGATTCGCAGATATGAAGCAGAGGTCACGATGGTCAATATTCGACTTCTAATACTCAATAGAATAAGTTTGATGTTTACTAAAGGTGCATTAATTTTCATTTAACAGAAGTCATGAGTTTCATCTAAATTACGAAATTGTCACCGGTTGTACGGTATACGTACGAACTGTAAACTACATCTCATATTTTCTTTTAAGGAATATATTAAGACGTGGGTCATACTTATATTGTTGACATATTTAGAATATTCTGTGTATATATTTTCCTGATTTGTAGTGATCTGATGCAGTAGAATAATTAGGCAGATTTGGTGCAGTATAATTAGGCATTAATTTCTCATCTATTCTTAGAAGGTCTTCTTTCTCATGTATATATATATCTTCCCTGTACATCAAATTAATATATGAGAATATATACAGTCTTGAAACTCTCTGTATCTTCTTTTTCAACTTGGTATCAGAGCAGGTCGTGGCTCTTAAATCATATTCTCTTGAAATTGTACCTTAGAAATTACTATTCTTGAAACAATGGGAGAAAAAGACGAAGCTTCGAAGAACAATCAACTTCCGGTTATTGTTCAATCGGAAGGGATGTTCAATGCAGGAATCATTCTATCTGAATCAAACTATGATGTGTGGTCTCAATTGATCGAGATGCATATTGCTGAAAGGGAAAAGCTTTCCTACATCCGTGGCAAACTGAAACCACCGGCAGAATCCGAAGATGGATATGAAAAGTGGTATGCAGAGAATCAAAAAGTTAAGAGGTGGTTGTTGATGTCTATGAAGCCTGAAATCATGAAACGTTATGTTCGATTGCCTACAGCCTATGCAATCTGGACAGCGTTGGAAAAGGCTTTCTATGATGGGAGTGATGAACTACAAATTTTTGCATTAAATCAAAGAGCCTTTACTGCCAAGCAGAATGGAAGGTCCCTGTCAGACTATTATGGAGAGCTCATTGAGATTTTTCAAGAACTGGACCACCGCGACAAAGTTATCATGAAGGATCCAGATGATGTTAAAGCCTACCAGAAATCTGTTGAGAGGCTGAGAGTGCATATTTTTCTTGCCGGGCTTGATGA